AAGAAAATGTGTCTGCTGATGTCTCAGCTGCTTTCAAACTGGCTGCTGTTTGTCTCGTTGCATGTTATCTTCTCTTTTTTTGCAATAGTCTGGCTGTGTACTTTCCCTGTGGAATTCGATATGTGAGAAAATTCCTGTTTGGTGTTGGATGGCTCATCTGTACACTGAGACCATGAGAGAGTGATATCTGTGGTCTCTCAGGCTGGCTCAGCTTTCATCACCCAGGAGGAAGTTTCAGTTTTTATCGAAACTGCAGAGTGAGAAAGTCTCAAGAGACCAAGACAAGCAAAACTCTAAAGAGTATCCGGGTGCTTAGTTCACTTTATGTGCTACAGTCAATAAACTAAAACAACCATAATATTATCCTAACCCAAATAAGAAGTTACTTTCCTTTATTTTGTTCTTAAGAAGTTAAGTTTATACAACTATTTTGCTTTAGAAAATATGTTTTCTGTAATTCTTTTTTAAACCTTTTTAATTACATTTTCAGACAATACTGGCAGATGGCACTGTAAATGAGATTAAAGGTCTACTGACACTTTCTCATGTTCTTTGTAGTAACTTATTACAGGTGAGGGGAAAACAGAGATTTTAAGAGAATCCAAACATTAAAAAAGGGCTTAGAGCTTGTACAAGAAAAACTATTACTGTGAAACCTATATATAAAGAGGTATTCTGTTATGGCTTTCCCCCTCTCCTTTATTGAGTTATAAACCTTTTTTGTGCATGTAACAGTTTAGCAAAGTGAAAAAGGGAGTTTCATCTCCCACAGAAAACTCTGCTCTGAACTGAAAACAGCTCATTTGTAGTCCAGCCGCTTCCCTTTCATCCCTGTGACGTCACAGACGCCAAGCGGCGACTCCGACACGCCCTCAGAAACAGCGAGCTGCAGCACACAGCTCTCCTCTCCCTTCCAAACACCAGCTACCCTCCAGGCAGTCAGTGGACATAAAGTTGTTCCTGTGATGTAGAGACAGAGCTCAGTTAAAACTTTATGGATACAGATTAATAACTCACCGCTCTGAAACTCTCGCTCCAGTCCATGTTGCCGAGCCGGTCGGCAACACGTACGGCTGAACCCGAGCCGTTTACCGGCTTCTCGCTGACCCGCCCTTCTCTGCTTCTGATTGGCTAGTAGTCCTTAACTAGGAACTGAGCATGTGCAACTCCCAACAAAGATCATTTAGAGACAAGATGTATCACTCCATAGCTAAAACGAAGCCTTCAACACAGGCTGAAAAGAGGAGCTGCAGCAATGTGCAGTATGAAAAACATATAACCATGTAAACCTGCTCTGGTACAACCTCTAAATAAGATGAGGAACCTGAAAATGAGCAGAATACCACCTCTTTAATACTTTGCCACAGTTTACAGGTAAGTGTATCCTGTTAGTTCTCAAATGAGGATGTGGACGACCTGGAGTTTAAGGTAGCAGCAGTAGTTTTTTAGGGAGAGTGTGTAACAGTTAGATCAATGAGGCTCCTCAGTAAATGAACGTTTGTTGCTTACAGCTGGAGGATTGTTTTTTCTGACTTCATGAAATACCTGTAGCATTACACAGTGATGTGTGTTCTGTACTGTGAGTCAAAGTAAAATCCAATATTATGATATTGATATACTGTATGTGTAGTACTTTTCCTGGAAGTTAGTGTGACTGAGTGTTTATGAATTAAATAGCCGGAATGACTGTTGTGGAAAGTAGAACTAACAATGTACATTTACTCAAGTACAATACATTTTGAGGTACTTGTGAGCCGACTTAAGTGTTTCAATTTATGCAACTTTATAATCTTACTCCACTACATATCAGAGAGAAATATAAAATGATAAACTTGATAGCATCATGTGTACTTTAACTTTGATGTTTCAGGTACATTTTGTTGATGGTACTTTTACTTTTAAGAATCTGAGTACTAGTTCCACCACAGCAAATCAAAGTACTTGATCACATTGATAAATAATATTAAATCCAATATTGCTATTTATCAGAAACGCCCATTGATTTGCAGCTTTGGCAACAAGGTCCAGAACAAGCAAATATATTAAAAGTACAAAATAGCTTTGTATAAATCTCTGGCAGTCAACACATTTACGTTGACTCAGGATATATGATCTCATATTGCTCATTAAGAGCCATAGTTTATGTTTTCTTATTTGTTTGCATTTGCCTTTATTGATTATATTTGATCTTTAAAGTCATGCTAACTTCAGTGCAGTTTACTGATGTGTGCGTGTTGCTTTGCAGGTCACTGGTGGTGCTGAACGTGAGAGATGGAGCTGAAGGTGTGGGTGGATGGTGTGGTCAGAGTGGTGTGTGGCCTGACGCTGGACACTTCCTGCCAGGATGTTGTCATAGCTCTTGCACAAGCAATAGGTAAGTCGCTGAATTTTCCTTCAACACTCATTCACATATAAAAACTGTTTTAGTACTAAAGTTTTTGGTTGCAAGAGTCCATTTTGGAGCCTACGTTAGCTTTCCTGTAACACCAGCCCCAGCTCACACCGTCAACTATGAACATGAAATATCTAAATGACAAGCACACTGACAATGGTGAAAACCATGATTTTAACAACCCTACAGTCTTTCTCTAGTGCAAACCTAGGAAAACTTCAGCATGTCTTTCAGTTGACGTCTTTTCCAAGTGACTTACAATAAGGGCCTTCAACCATGTGAATCCAATCCAAAAATTACAAGAATCATGCAAGTACATCAAAATCAACCATCCTGAACTACTTCAAGTGCTACATTTAGGAACAAAAAGAGACAGAGACAGACACTGAATTTGTCCAGTCACGCTTCTACCACCTTAGAAATATTGCTAAGATAAGATCTAACATCAGATCTAACTTAAAGGCCAGAGATACAGAAAAACGTTGTACATGCCTTTATTAAAAAAACTCCGTTTACAGATTGTGCAGAACTCAGCTGCGAGGTTATTAGTCCCGGGAAAGATGCCCACATCACAGCGATTTTAGTTTCTTTACGTTGGCTCCCCGTTTGTTAAAGGACTCATTTAAGATCTTGGTTACTTTTAAGGCTCCTTATGGCCTCACTCCAAAATATATTCAAGATATTTTAACTCCCTTTGATCCTGGGTGCAGTCTGAGATCCAGCAGCAGGGGTCTTCTGTCCCTCCCGAAGTCGGTTGACAACACAAAGAGGTGGAGCCTTTGCAATCAGGGCCCCTGATGCTCTAGACCTGGAAGTCGGGCTGTGAGAGTCAGTGTTTTATTTTAATCCCACCTTAAAGCTTAATGTTTCCAGAAAGTGTTTTCTGAGTTTATATAAGCTGCCAGCCCTTTTTTGTCTAAATGTCTGTGTAGTTTCTGTTAAATTTCAGTTTCTTATTGACTGCTGTGCACTTTGTACTTTGTCTGATAAGTGCGCTACAAATAAGGGTTTCATTTTATTATTATCTGAATTGTGAACAGTGCAAACTGGTAGAGACCAGAAGACACACCAGTACACAAACTGAAAGTGTTCGGGCAGCACGTTTTAACACGATACCACCATATAGTGAGCTGTTAAATATTAATCACGTGTCTGTCTTTTGCACAGGGCAGACTGGTCGGTACATTCTTATCTTGAAGTTACGAGGGGGTGAGAGACAGCTAGTTGCTGATGACTGTCCTCTTCAGCGTCTGGCTCAGCTGGGACAGCTGGCTACAGAGGTCCAGTTCATTCTGCGGCGAACCGGTCCCAGCCTCAGTGATGCTTCAGACACACCCACCACAGAGAGACCAGAAGCAGAGCCTCTCAAACGCAAAGAGTCACACAAGACCGTCACCTTTAGTCAGCGTTCCTCAAAACACTCCAAGAGGACTAAACCAAACAGGACCTCATCTCCTCGAGCCTCCCCAGAACCGCAAGCTTCCCCGGTGTCTTTCCTAGACCCTGTCAACCCTGTGAATGCCATTCCCTCCAAAGAGGAGGTGTTTAGGCAGATTCTGCAGCAACAGATGAGACTAGAAGACCTGGAGATTCAGCTTCAAGCCCTGGAGAGAGAAACAGGGCTGTGGGAGCAGGAGAGCTCGTCTGCTATAGTCCCTGTTCTCTGGTCCCTGCAGGGGGAACTGGAGGAACTGGAGCAGCAACAGAGGCAGAACGAGGCTGAACTGATGCAACAAGAGCGCTGGGAGGAAGAATTACAGGCAGAGGTGGACAGAGAACAAGGCACGTATTCAAAGCTGTCACATTTTCTGCATTTAGCGAGCAACTTTTTCCTCTCACACTTCTAAAACTGTGTTGTTAACCCTGTTATCAACAGATCTGCACAGACGTCTCAACCAGATCCACTCATCAATGGATGATCACAGTTATCAGATGAAGGAGCTCCAAGCCTATTCTGCACATCTAGAAGAGGACCTACAGCTTAGAGCACACAGACAAAGCTCTCGACAGCCAGAGGAGCCCCTGAAGCCCCTGAAGCAGGAGCTCCACCACTGCCTGCAGCAGGCAGAGGAACTGGATGCAACATTGTTAGAGACACAGCGGAAGCTACAAGCTGCAGAGGAAAGTCTACAGGTATAACTCCTCACTCTAACCTTAACTTTCAGTGTCACCTTAATGAAAAGTCCGACGATATTGTAAACTAATGCCACGAAAAGACCAAGACCAGTTTGTTTTGTCCATCTCTCAGTGCTCGCCGACTTCCCCAAGCCTGTCCATGGCACTTAGCCCCAAATCCACTGGTCCCTACTGAGGATGTAAATATTTACATCAAATACATACTTTTAAAAGGTTATTTCCTAAAACAGCTGGCCACTGCTGGTTTGAGCAAAGGTTACGCAAACAGGAGGAAAGGGGGACTATTTTCAGCAGCGGATTAATACACATTTGGTGCTCTAGTGAGTATTTGGGGCAGCAGGACAGTGGATGTGAGTCAAAATGAACTGCTGTGTGTGTGCTGCTGTTTCCACAAAGGTGTCAGTTTCCAGTACTGAGCACATACATAGAGCATCGAGGGTTAATATGTTCGCAGTCCCACCAAATGTATTCAACCTAACATTGGTGCTGTTGGTAATATAATATTCCCTGCATGCTCTAGGACAGATGGGAGATGACTGAGGAGCTGAAGAAGGAGCTGAGGCAGTGTAATCTGCAGCAGTTTATCCAGCAGACCAGCAGTCCACATGCAGACCAGACCAACGTCCTGCCCGTCACCGATGCTTACCTCAGCAGCGCTGGTATAATGGAGTAGGACCGGCTAAGACGTACGTCATCAGACTGTTTCAAAGGATCATTACCGGCTGTACAACAAGTTTATCACTGCGTTAAGCACTGTGTTTAAAATAGTTTCAAGTAAGAGTCCGGCTTTCCTGTTTTTAGTAAGTGTACAGTGTTGTCAGTGAAGAAGAGTCTAGTTCTGTTCCACTGGTGAAAACCTGTACCGCCAGTTTTGGGGATTTTAAATGCCAGAAAGAAAGAAAAGTGATATAAGATGTGGCAAATGAAAAGTGTCAAGTCCATCTTTGACGAATAAAAGCTCAAATAACAGAAACAATCATGAATATTTAAACCTACACAGACGTCTGACTCTGGCATTTTCTCTCTGTCTGCTGCAGGACATCCGGAAGTAAAACATGTTCTCTGAATCCTCTCAAGCCCGTCCTACTGTGTGTGTGTGTGTGTGTGTGTGTGTGTGTCTGATTAGCCAATCACTGCCAGGTTTCAAAGGAAATCTTTGAAATAAATGAATGTTGATGCTACTGATAAAAATGAATGGATGTATTTTTGCTTGTTGTTAATGTTTGCTCTAGGCCTATCTTGCCATGTAAAGGTTTTATTATAATTAATTACTCATATATATTTTTTAAATGCTATAATAAAGTTATTTGTTGTTTTTTTTAAAAATGGATATATGTCCTGTTTCAATTCCAGCTCACATGAAGCAGTTAACCTTTGGTCCATCAGAGGGCGACGAAGCTTAATCTGTTTTCACTGCACGCATCACTCCAAGCTTTAGCAGCAGCAACAGCCCCAGTGAATGATTAGACACACACGTTTTCATGAAAGATACACATGAATAAACGCAGTTTGGTTCATGGGATCCCCAAAACACATGAGTCCAAACTCCAGACACAAGAACAGCTTAACCTCCATCGGACTGCAGGCAACCCTATCTACTGCAGAAGAAGACCGGGCTCAGCCTCCACAGTCGACATGTCTTTAATGTCTTGTTTTGTCAGACCAACAGTCCAAAGAACAATAATTAAAAGAAAGATGTAATTTACCATCACCAAGGCAAACACATCCTTACAATGGCGTGCCTTTTTAAATCGAATGGTTAGTGGCTGACAGTTATCAGTCAGCTAATCGATTAGTTTCAGCTCTGATTATTAAAGCCCAAGGTGACATCTTTAACTTGCAGTCCAAAACACAAAGATGTTCAGTTTATATCGCAACAATCAAGACAAAGAAAAGCATGAAATCCTCACAAATGAGAGAGTGGAGAGTTTTCTTGAAAGCGGACTCAAATGACGAATCACATCAGAATAGTTTTTTAATTTCTTGGAGACAGAGTTGAGCGTTTAGTGACGCAGCATGAACTCAGCCTTGGACTCAAGAAGCCCCCTCTGTGCTTATGTAGCATCAACTTGTTTGCACTCCTGCCAGATCCAGTTACAGTAAGAATGCGTGTGGATGAAGATTACATCTGCTGGTCATGTAGTTATCCTCCGCCGACCCTGCAGGGTCTGTCTGTCAGAGTTTCGGCTCCCCTCTCTGATGAGCCTACAGAAAATTGTCTCTCTTTCCTCACTTTTCTCAGAAGTCTGAACAATCAGCAGGCAGATGTTGTAGAAGGAAAAATATCCAGACAATGTTCAGGCTGCAGTATAAGAAAGGACTCTGTGTCTTTAGTCTCTGTGGATGCTGCAGAGCTGTAATCTACAGTGTGATGCTCTTACTGTTAATAATCTAATCTGATGTAATATTATTGGATTTAATCCGATGAAAATGGATCTAATCTGTGCTACAGTATAATACATTCAGAACATACAGGTCAGCTGGTAACAGTTTCATAACGTTGCTTTGTCAAAAACGCCTCATTCTCAAACACAAAGAAGAAACATTTAAAATCTCAGTGAGATTTAAAAATCAATTCAATTCTGAGAACTTTATTCATCCTGTAGGACCTTCATTTGTTCAGAGCATCAGTGTGTTCACATTATCAGAAACTCAGCACAATATACCACACACACGTCACATACCAGCAATCAGCTGTGATGACTTAGTACACGATAAACTGGTGACAAAGATTTAAAAAAGATTGTGTTTAAAATAGATTCAATTAAATAACTAAAATGAGGGCGGAACAGTGGTCCAGTGGTTTAGCGCTGTCACCTCACAGCAAGAGGGTCGTGGGTTCGAACCTTGGTCGTGCCAGGCCTTTATATGTGGAGTTTGCACATGACATGACCCTGTACACAGGATAAGCGGTTGATGATGGATGAATAAAATAAACCAGCGACTCACAGACATATAGATAAATGAGTGAATCAGCCGTTCACGATGAGCAACTGGCTGGTCAACATCTCGTTATTTACCACTTTGATGTGCACAGTTTCTCCTTGTTGTTTTCAACGGCTACATTAACACAACTTCATCGATAATTAGCTCGTTATGACTCACAGCTCGTATTCTATATCTGGTAAACACCCTCAGACCCGGGGCAAAGAGGGGCTTGACATCTACAGTACATGTTGCATCACATGTATGAGCTGTTCTCAGCGTCAGATTATCCCTGAAAATACTCATCTCAACTCCATTAACAGCTTTGTGTATGAGCAGAGCAGCTATATAAACACCGTGACAGCGAGGGAGAACACAGGACAGAGAGACTGCAAAAAGAAAGAGAACCTTCTCTTTGTTTTGTGGTTCTTCCTTTGCTCAGCCCTTTCAGGCAGCGTCTCTTCGCCGAACCAAACTCCCACCAAACTACAACGCAGGTGAGACCATCAGGTGGCACCACACAGCAGCGCAGACTGATGTCTGCAGTTAGTTTTAATGAAGGTCGTGCAGCTTCTAAGAAACCGTTTTATGTATTTCCTGTGTAGCAGCTGCTGGATGTAGGTATTAAGAAGGCATTAGTGCCACATGTTGCTGTGAAATTACACATGATGACAACTTTTCTGAGCTTCGAGTTATAAAGTGATTTTTCTGTGTGGGTCAGTCAAATTTTATGAGATAAAAACGTAATTAATTAAATGAACAAATGAATCTGAATTATTACTTTTTTTTGCATGTTTTCATTTTCAGTGCACCAAACTTGTTGTTTTTATCAAGTTTCTGTTCAAAGCTCATATTAAAAAAAGTGCATTGTTCAGTTTCATCTGTGGGAAAAAAGTTCAGAACTCTTTATTGTCCAATGATTCATTTTGATCTTCATTGCTGTTTGATATTTTGAGGTTGTTGTTTGACGATGGTGCTTTATCATATCTTTATTTGCTCACCTCCCAGAGTTAGATGTATCACAGAGGGAGCTGGAGCAAGATGATGATTAGCTTACTAACAGGAGAACAGACCATTACTGTACGTCTACCAACATCTCTGAAGCTCACATGCTACAAATGTAAAAATGACCATCTGGTGTTTCCTGATAAACAACTCTTTCTTTTTTGTTCGCTTTCTGTTTGTTCACTTGAACACATGAATCTTTGTTGTTTTCATAGAAATGAACACAGAGAAAGCAGCAGCAGCACCCGGAGGCGGCAAGTCTTCTCCTCCCAAGTCCACGCAGAAGGAGAGCAGGCAGTTCAAGAGCAAGGCTCCCAAAGCTGGACAGAAGGGGTGAGTCTAGAAAAGAAAGCTCAACACCCCTGCAAAGGTAGAATTACAGCTGTTAGGTAATGGAGATGGCACGTCTCAGCATCACTCTCTGTCCTTCTCTTAGATTTGATGATGGTCTGGGGATGGAGGGCGTTGGAGGTAACTATCAATCAAATCAATAACTGATAAGAAACACATTATTCTAAAGTGGTCGATGAAGGCGAGCTCCATTAACCTGTGCTTCCTCTGCCGCAGAGGTCATCTGCCCCTGGGAGGTGTTTGGTGACATGGAGCTGAATGATCTGGCGCAGTTTGGCATCGTTTAGGCCTTGTGCCAAATGGAAATGGTTTATTCCTGGTGGCTGCGATCCACCTTTCTTTTCTGCCTCCCCCTCCATGAGTGGAGGAAGAAGCTTTTGGACAGCAGCCCCCAAGGATGACACCTCTTCGGTCGTGGGCCGGTGCACCTCATCACCTGGAAGCTTTACCATCTCTCCGAGCTCTATATTATCTTTCATTACATCTGAATGAGACCTCAGGAAGTCTCTGCCTTGTAGCCCTGAGTAGCCCGGCACCTGTGTAAAAGTGTAACACACTGTACCGCTGCTTGGGCGTATTTAAAGGGACGATCAGTGAACAACTGGGAATCCATAAATATTTTAGTGAAAGTGTGTAGATTAGATCTATTTATCTATATTTAATCTATCTATCTATCTCTGGTGTATATGTTATAATAAAGTGCATTTTAATCACATTATCTGGTCTACCTGAGCATGTTTCTCTCTTGTTATGAATATATAATATATAAATTCACAACCATCTCATGCACTCTCACGCTCCGTATTACTGCAGGTTGCTGTGTTGTCATCATGCTGATGTTGGTGATACAATGATGTATCATTTAACATAAGTTTCACATCTTAAGTTTTCAATTTAAAAACGTAAAATAATTCAACTTAATTTCCTTTTATATTATGTAAACATTAACTTGAAAAAAGCTGACAAGAGTTACTGTATGTAGAGTTTTGCAGATGTGACCACGATCACTACTGTGGTCCTGCAGTGACATCTGCGTTTTGGGCCAGGGGCAGAGGCAAAGTACTGGCTTCAATGCCACAGTTCTGGAGAACTGGAGACATCAAGACAAAACAAAAAGGCCACTTAGTGAGATGGCTGGAATATTCTTTGCTCTACGATTCTGACCACCACTGTCTCACTCCCAAGTGGTCACATATGGACGCTTGGTCAAACCCCTAGGATCCCAAAAAAGAGTTAGAGAGAATGTTCAGGAAGGAAAGGACGGAGGGGTCGAGAAGGAGAGGATGAAGGTGGTTGATCGGGGTCGTGGTGGCTCAGGGTGGGGGCACCTCTTGCTTTCTGATCCTCTAGTGGTTCCTGTGGTGGAAAAAGAACAATATGCAAATATAAGTTATATACGAATGTGCAGGTGATTGGATCAGAGAGGCACAGGTGGATGAAATGAGCGAAGCATGGGTGGTTGGATTAGTGAGAGAGAGAGAGAGAGAGATAACACACGTTACCGTTTCATTTATTTATTTATTTTGTATTTTTTTATATATATTTTTTAACACGCACACACACTTACCATTTTATTTATTGATTTTATTTTAATTTTTAATTATTTTTTTAACACACACACGCTTACTGTTTTATTTATTTATTTTATTTTTAATATATTTATATTTTTTTAAAAACACACACACACACACACTTACTGTTTTATTTATTAATTTTATATTAATTTTTGATATTTCTTTTTTTTTCTCTTTTTTTTTAAACACAAACACACATATACTTTGATTACTTTATGCTTTAATTGTTTAATGAAATGTATGGGGCTGATTGTTCTTATGTTGTATATATGATAGAGAGAGAGAGAGAGAGAGAGAGAGAGAGAGAGGTGTGCTCTTGTTCCTGAACCTCAGATACTGGAAACCCTACTACCACTAACTCTGTGTTTTGGAGTGATTTCTGCTGGAAGACTCTGATCCTCCTTCAGAAAATTTATTAACCCCTACTTTTTTTTGGGGGGGGGGGGGGGGGGGGTCATG